TGTATCACCCGCCGCTGACGTTAGCCGTGGCCAGAGTTCAAACTCGGCGTGTCAGATTCATCGTTTATTTTTTTGGGGGGGTCAGATCGCTGCCGCTTGAGTCAAACGCCAACGTGTGTTGTACACCCTCCTCCACCCGACACGGCCAGCTAGATGTGTCAGGCGAGCAGACCCACCAAACGCGTGACTGCTCCAGCAGCACCATCACCGGGGTGCTGCTGGAGAGCAGTCCAGGCGCGCGTTTAAGAATCGGGTCTTGGTGTTTATTGAAAGTTACAGCCAGCAACATCAAGCGTTTGCCACAATTGTGAACATTTCCTCTAAACGTGTTCAATAGTTAATACTGTATAGTCAATAGTGCAGTGTGCTAACCACTGCGCCACCACTCCCCGGCCTGACATTGGTAAAGGGTTATTGTACAGTGTTTGCTTAGAAAGAAGGTAACAACTGTTCATCGCTTAGTCCTGCATCTGAGGATGAGGCGTTACCCCGAATTGCTGTCCGATGTGTGGGGATTTGTGAATGGTTTGGTTAGCATGTCTTTCACACGTGGCGTCCTGAGCCAGAGTGCCTCTAAGGATCGATGGCCACTGCAGGGGATTTCATTGATCACCGGCACACCCCGAGCCGCAGGGTAAAGCAGCCACGTGAAACACGATCTGCGTGTATAACTACACTGACGGATGGAATGTCAAAACCGTTTATGACATCTTAATTTTCATGGACACAATTGTCCATGGTCTGATTCCGTTTCTAATCAGGCTTTTGCCTAAAGAACTGCGTTATTCCGTAATGTACACTTTCACTGGCGCGCCGCTTGTAAACATGCTCACCCATAGGCTCGACCTTTCTCGTTGGCAACAAGGGTGTTATGTAGAGAAGATAGGCCGGGCAGAGCGGAGCTTGATCCCTTTGCAGGACCGCGATTGTCATGACAGCATCGTTATTGTAGCAGCAGCTTTTGCTTCTGGCTTCCACTCATCAACAGGAGGACGTAACCCTTCAGCCCTATACAAACACGCGCTCGAGTCACGTCTTAAATAATCCAGAGGTGATGAATATTTAAACGCGTCTGCGCCTAAATAAAGTGCATCACTTACATGCATGCATTCTGGTGGCCCCTTTATAGACACGTGCGCGTGTGTGTGTGTGTGCACGCGCGCGCGTATGTGTGTGCGCGCGCCTGTGTGTGTGTGCGCGCGCGCGCCTGTGTGTGTGCGCGCGCGCGCCTGTGTGTGTGTGCGCGCGCGCGCCTGTGTGTGTGTGCACGCGCGCGCCTGTGTGTGTGTGCACGCGCGCGCCTGTGTGTGTGTGCACGCGCGCGCCTGTGTGTGTGCACGCGCGCGCCTGTGTGTGTGTGCACGCGCGCGCCTGTGTGTGTGTGCACGCGCGCGCCTGTGTGTGTGCACGCGCGCGCCTGTGTGTGTGCAAGCGCGCGCGTGTGTGTGTGCACGCGCGCGCCTGTGTGTGTGTGCACGCGCGCGCCTGTGTGTGTGTGCACGCGCGCGCCTGTGTGTGTGTGCACGCGCGCGCCTGTGTGTGTGTGCAAGCGCGCGCGTGTGTGTGTGTGCACGCGCGCGCCTGTGTGTGTGTGCACGCGCGCGCCTGTGTGTGTGTGCACGCGCGCGCCTGTGTGTGTGTGCAAGCGCGCGCGTGTGTGTGTGCACGCGCGTCAAAGCGCGAGCTACGAGGCGTGGGGGGGGTTAAAGGGAAAGCGATGTCACGCAACAGCCACGTGTGGCGGAGTAGCCCTCGAGCACAAGCTGTGCGTGTGCGACGAGCAGCCCGACTGCTATAACCGAGCGCAACGTGAAGTATTTATAAGTCCTGATTAAGCTGACCTCCGCCCCAAATTTGCCAGTATTTCTGGTCGCTGTTTAACCGAGTACTTGCGATGTTGCCAAAATGTTTTACGTGAGATTCATGGAAATTTATTTTTCAGTGCCGGAAGCAGGAGACAATCAGTAGGTAGACAACACGAACAATTGCAGACACGCTTGTCCTCTTGCGATGGGGTTCATTGTTTTTCAGAAAGTCACTCGAAGGAAAACGATCTCTTCCAGAGTGATTTGCACACTCCATGCACCGTGTTTGCAACAGCCTTGTCTGTCGGCAAAGCTGAGATTTTCAGCGCGATAATGCAGGAACTTGTTAAAAACTACGATTGAAATCTAATTTTTTTAGGAACCACATTTTTTGTCAAGGCTTACCCGGAAGAGTAATGGTCGCGAATTATGCAGGGACATCCTCGCCGCGGCTCACGACTTCCAGGGGTCCCCGCTTCACCGCACGTGGCCAATTTGCTCCCGAGCCTTACGTCGCGTGGAAGGAAACCGATAAGCCAAGAAATGATAATTACTTAGAAATCATCATCTCCTCTGTTCCACGTGGGTTAACATTTCACAGATCAATTGCAATTGAACATACCAAATATGACCCGGAATAATACAAAGAGAGTGGATAGCATTTCACAATGCACATGGCTCATCACCAATCTACTTGCTATACTACATCCCCTGGATACAATTAGGGTTTTCAAACACGCAGTGATAATTATCGAGTGAACCACCAACCCCAACTTCAAATCAGGTGGAGTACGCATATGTTTTCCACCTGTCCCGGTTTGACCCCAGTACGTTGTGAGAATCGGCATCTGTGTCCGGGTGGCAGGGATTTTATTTTTACTGAGATCTGGCAGGAGTATTTAGTTGAACGTTATTGCCGTTATCACAGAAGACTGCTGCACAGTTTTAATAAGAGATCTAGGTCGACTCACCCACTCGCTCGCTCGCTCGCATGCTCACTCACTCACTCACCCACTAGGGTCGCCACCCGTCTTGGTTTGACCCGGGAATTGGCGTCTGTGTTTGAGATCTGGTGGTTTTGTGTTGAACCTGCGTCACGCTAGTGTGGCTCGGTTTTAATAATAGACCTGGGCCGACAGAGACATATGCTCGGGTCTTCAGTGGGACAGGTGGCAACTATGATTGCAAGCACGTGGAATTATGGTTTTCCATTTTAGCACAACTAGGGGTTGAAGGATCGCTCTGTTCCCCATTGTGTACAGCACACACTGTGCCCGCTGTTAAATCATCATGCACAGTTATTTCTGAACAGCTTCAATCGTGCGGAGCTGCAGGCTGTCGATTCGTCATCCATTGGTTAATGAGGTTTTTATCCTGTGGCCGTCACTGTACAGTGAAACGTATGCATGCATATGTATGGGGATGATTTATTTGCATGGCCAAAGATTTAACAGACGCATAGCAGTACATTCTTCGCTTTGTTGTTCAAGAAAAACAATGAAAATGCTAATTATGTTTTTCTGCTTTGTTTGGTTGCGGAGGTGTTTGCCTCCTGCCCAATTCATCTCTCCATATTTGTTCTTAACTTTTTCCCATTCCCACTATCCGTACGTCTAATCAGGTCCCTGCATTACGCATCACATTCTTATCTTTGTGCATTTGCCAACGCATTTCCCGGCTCACGGTATTTTGCTATTTGCCGCTGTAACCTCCATAATGTTAACTCTACAACCAGAGCGCTGAACTTTTGTCCACACCCGATGACGCTGGGTGTAATCTCCGGCGAAACGTCGTTTAAAAATTTGTCAAAGGGGTGCTTGCTTTTGAACATTTCTCTGGTTTGCTGATAAACCAAATCAATTAGCACATTCACCCACGTGACAACTGGATTTGGTGTAGGGTTAGAGTTCAAAATTGTCAGGATACCTTCACGCTGAGCCAACCGAAAAGAAACGAATTATTCATCGACAACAAAGTTAGAATCCCGCTGCCATATCCGGGGTGCTGCACCCAGTTTCATGTTTTTTTGCACTTGACTGAATTCGATATGAAGCAGTCACCGTGGGTGATGACTCAACACTCGCTGATGCACTCCAGTCAGTTGCTCATCGGCGGTCAGTCGCCTCCTTATCTCTCTGCTGTCGCTGCTACCATGGTTACTGTTCCCGCTATCATCACTGTTTGATTCCTCCTCCCATGTTGAATTCTTTGTCTGCCAGACTATCTGTTTCCTCTCATCCACGCTGTGTCCACCCCCTCACTGCAGGTCACAACACTTCTCTTGCAGCGTCTTCCCTCGCACTGCTAAACTCTGGAACCTATTCCCGCAATGTATTTAGCCAACTTCTTCTAATAAGCTCGCTCAATTCACAGAAACGGCTTAAACATATCAATAAAACAGTTGTGTTAAGATGTTAAAGCACCAAACAGAAATCTTTTGTAAAGAATTACAGTAAAACCTTGGATTGCGAGCATAATTCATTCCGGAAACGTGTTTGTAACCTAAAGCACTCGTATATCAGTTGTGATCACGTGACGCTCGGCAGACAAAGCGTATACACGCACTACTCGTATTGCAAGACCTCACTCTTTATCAAATTTATATTTATTAAAAAATTTTGCTCGTCTTGCAAAACACTCGCAGACCAAGTAACTCGCAATCCAAGGTTTTACTGTGTGTCGGCATTAACCACGCATACTTGTTGTGAACATGCAAACAAAAACATGCTCTGACGGTATATGCATTGTCTATGAAACGGATTGGTCGCCACCAGAGACAGCTTTCTTTAGAGCCTCGTCTCAAACGGCGTTAGACCAGAGGACGCCACAAGGCGAACGGCACAATGCAGTGACAGGATTCCTTGCCAAGTTTCTGTTTGGTGTTTTAACATATTAACACAACTGTTTTATTGCCAGAAAGGTTAAACCCAATTTTTATATTTTGATACTGGCAAGAAAGGTCCCATGATTAAACTTGTCAATTAAAGATGTATTCGTGCTGTTTGTTGCTACCCGCTTGATGTTTGGGCTTTTGGACCCGTGCTTAGCAGCTGTTTTCAAATCACAGAAGTAGTGCCGCTGTGTCTGTCTTCCCCTATTTTGCAAACGAGACTGCTGCTCCCTCGACTTGTCACCTGCTTCACCGGACGTCAACGTGAACTCTCGGCCGTTGTGTTGTGCCCCCCCCCCCGGCAGTCGCTGGTGTTCCTGGTGGGCATCGCCGCGGCGGGGCTGGCGCTCAACCTGCTCGTGCTCTTCGTCTACTTCGTGCGCCTCTGCTGCTGCCGCCGGCACGAGGATGAGGCGCAGAAGCGCTCCAATGTTTGCTGCACCACCTGGTGCATCGTCATGGCCACGCTCATCTGCAGGTACGGCCGTGCGCGCGCGCGGTGGCTGGGAGATGTTATCTCCCTCGCCTGGTACGCAGGAGGTCGTGGGCTCGATCTCGACCCTGACGCGTGTATATTTGGAGTTTGCGTGCCTCTCTCTCCATGGTCGCGTGGATTTTTCTCCGGGTCCTCCGGTTTTTCCCTCCACATATTAGAAACACGCGCTTAGAGTATGATAGGCCACTCCGTTGAGCTATCATCTGTGGCCAGGTCACTTCTGAGAAAAAGCTACATTGCTCAGTGGGCCTTACCTGAAAAGAAAAATCCCCCTGCTGGGTGCCGACGGCCTCCGTGTGCCCGTGTAGGTCGTGGCGGTTGTTTGACGGCACTCCATGACGACGGTCGGTGAGGGTTCGCGACGATGGCGGAGTGCAGCCTTCTGCTGACAAGGAAGCTGTGCAGCGGCCCGAGGCCACCTGGCATGCATGGCGGTCGCCCCGTCCAAGCACTAGCCAGGCTCAACACTGCTTAGCTGCTGAGATCTGTCGAGATTGGGATTTAATATACCGTGCCGTCGTTCAGGAGTTCAACTCAGAATTTCGGCATTTCAAGTTTGGTAATATGAATTCCACTTTAAACTTGATTCCACTTTGTTGGTGGGAAATCAACAGTGCTTTTCTGATAAATCGGCTACCACCCACCATAGGAATATGGAATTTCCACCACTGACAGAGGGCTACCATTGGCATTGAACACAACCTCAGGCTGGTTTGAGTGGCGAGATACTTGGTGTATTTAGCACGGAAGTCCAAAACATTCCGTATGCGAATGAATATCCATTCGAGCCAAATCAACACTTCATTGCGAGTTTATGTGAAAAAATGTACCTTCACTTCATCCATGCACCATCTCACTCTGTCTTTCATTTTGACCGAAACAGATCGTATTCATTTTCCAATGTTCCCACATGAGCCCATTTTATTTCAACTTGGCAGGTGTTTACGGTGATGCACACTCCGATTCCAAACCACTAAACCAAATGAAGCGACAAATTGTTTGATGTCTGCTGTTCACCAGTGCTACGTGCGTGCGGGCGCTTGCCGTTCGCAACTGGTGTTGTGGCACAAAAACGCTTCCCTGCAGCCTCGGAGCGAGGCTGCTTCAGTAGTTTTGCTGCTGTGTCTCTGATTTATCTGTACCGACAGCACATTCGGAGGAGCCACAATGCTGCGAGCAAAGGAAAATAAAAGATATTTCATATACGAGATGACCTATTTGTCATGGTCTGTAGTTGTTGTTAATCTGTTTTGTTGTCAGAATTTCAGGTCTTATGAAGCAACATTAAAATCAAATAAAACTTTGAAAGAACATTGAGTTTTTATGGAAATTAGTCCAAAACTTTTACAGCTTAGAATAACCAGGGTTTACATTGCTAGATTAGGGAGTTGGTAGTGTAAATCTGTAATATCATTCATATAATACAATAAACTACAGTCACTTACAGCCCTTTCTTAATCCACTGCTGGATGAAGGCCTCTGCCAAGTTGTACTGGTTGCGGAAGCTGTTTGACTGTACTTCACCCCGTTGGTCAATGCGGGTTGGTGATGGGGGAGGGTGATGCTTAGGTCTCGTGCACACGGTGCTGCTGATGCTAGCGATGATCGGAATGTCGAACTCCCCGGCTCACGGCACAGCGTGTGGTGAGCCCCTCTGTGCCACCACCCACTGCTACCCCAGCATGAACTCATCCTGCCAGAATTTTTTATTGGCCAATTTTATTTGTATTCACAACAACAACAACAAGAAGAACTTTTCCACGGCGTGCGCACGCAATGAGTGGGTATGGTGCAAGTGCTTAGCGACGCTCTCCGGGTTCGAGAAATGTGCGACGTGAGGCCGCCGCGATGGTGAGCCCCTGGGCACCTCCGTGCGGGCACGGCCTGCGGGCACCGTGTGGGGGCACACACCGCACCACTCGGCTTGACATTGCTGCCTATGGGACTGGCTCTGGCACGTGCAGAGTGTGATCTAATGCACATCTGTCTGTGTGTAAGATGCTCGGAGTGAGTGGTAAGGCCTCGGAGTGCACCTGGCCTGGCACCAGCAGGGCGGGGACAATGGCTGCTGTTGTTGTTGTTGTTGGTGGTTCTTATTATATTCGAGTTCAAACTAAATTAATTATAAAAACCCTATTTAAAAGTTTTTCATCATTACGACCACATGTGTGTTCCATTCGCTATTTTAAACGCTATGCATATGCACATATGCAGACTTGTACATGTTTAGCTTCTGATATCTCAAGAGATCGGGTACATCTTGGGCGATTTGGTTATTCGGCAAAATTGGACAATATTAGACAAAGGTGATATAATATTCTATATCCTGCTTATGAACAATGGGGGTTTCTTTAATACATGAACGCGTTTAAGGCAAACCCATTTGTGAATCAAATTTGTTTTGCCGACGTCATTCGCACTCAGACGACTCGCGCTTACGTGCGGTTGTTAAATCCGTTGAACAAACTAGGAGGGAGGGACGAGTGTGTGGGGTCAATTGAATTGCAGCCTGCTCTGCCACGATAGGCTAAGTCCCGAGATTGAGTTACAGATGACAGGGAGCCAGCGTAATCCTCGGAGATGCTGGGCGAGTCCAGTAAGTGCTGATAAGGCTCTTGAGCGGGCAGTGGTTGTTGTTGTTGTCGTCGTTGTTGTTGTTGTTGTTGCCACGCTGGAGGCTACTCGGAGTAGATGAGAATGAGGGGAATATTGGCGTGGGTCTCGCGTGCCCGTACGGCGTGGTTTCTTTCCTCAAACCTTAACCGTTGACTTCGTAAACCTGGCAATGAAGCCAGATCACCCAGAATGATCTGGCTCTTGGAAGCTAAGCAGAGTTGAGCCTGGATAGCGGTTGGACGGGCAACCACCCTCCGTGCTACGTTGTCAGCGGACGGCAGCGCAGCACAATCCATTGTTGTACTGTACTCTGTGCCAACGTCTATGCTCCCCACCTTTACCCTCCCGCACTGACCAGGGTGGTGAAGTACGGTCCCACACTGCGTAGGGAGACCCTCATCCCGCAGTGAGTTGACGAATGGGCCGTGCGTGTCCAGCACGTGGGTGACTTCATTGCAAGGTTTAACGGATGTGCGTGCACTCTTGAGATTTTAGCTCGTGTAATTGTGGGAGGATTTAGTTAAAATTGTGTTTCATTCGAATCTGCTTTTGTAAAATAATTTGTACGGCATGCTTGGGCTCGGGTTGAAGTAAGAATGCATTCACAATCGCTGATGTGGAATGGCTGTAGAAGCTCGGCCACGCTGCTCCGTGGCAGCCCACTGCGCCGGTCGATGTGACAGGTGACATTTTGAACATTTACTGCCTCCAGTCCAGAATTATGGTGTCCATCCGTCACTGTAATTGATTCTAGTGGTTGATTATTTCCTCATAAGTGACAGTAATTATCCCAAACGATCGTTTGCGCAATACTTTTGATGTCTGCTTTATTTGGCCACCAAATAGGATTTCACTCGTACGATGCAATGTTGCTGAGCGAGAAGGGAAGGTTTACCTCTTCATTTCGTATGATGAAAATGTATTCCCACCATGCCTTTGTGGGCCATATTACGAGGATATATATCTCGGTCAGCTCAAGCCTCCCGTAACCCACGTGACTTCCGTGTGCCCACCCCCACCCTGAGCCACTTTCCTCCCCCCATCGCCGCCCACTGTGAAAACACACGCCGCTTCAGCGGAGGAGCCTCCTCCTGCCTCCCCTCCTCATCTCTCCCCGAAACCTTCGCTCAGTTTCTCCATTCCGTTTCCACCCTTTTCCTTGCACCTCTCATTCCTTCTCTCTTCCCATCCTTTCTTCTTTCCCCACGCATCACACCCTTGACACTGCAAGTTTAATTCTGCACAGTGCACATTCGGTGCAGGTTTGTGGAGCCAGGCAGTGATGGCTGCTGCCTGTGATGTAGCACTGGAGTCAGCAGTGAGGGTTGTGAAACTCCATTCCCGTGGGCGTCGAGGAGGTGGGGTTTTTGGGTGCTTCAGTTTACTCCCACATTTATAATAAACATATCATACATTCTCTTTGGTTCTTTCCGTAAAGTCACGTAGGTGAACAAAAAAAAAATACGTGACTTTACCGAAAGAACCAAAGAGTATGGATCCTTGCAGTCACGAAAACTTCAAATCTAGAATATCATACATTGGCTGAAAACATGCAAATAAAAATCCAATGCAGGACCCTCCTGAATAGGTGCTGCAGTGGTGAGATGTTAACTACCTCGCCTTGTATACAGGAGATTGTGGTTTCGATCCAAACCCTGACACTTGTATATTGGAGTTTGCATGTTCTCCCCGTGGTCGTGTGAATTTTTCTCCGGGTCCTCCGGTTTTCCCCTCCACATTTATAATCAACGTCATGCGTTTAGAGTATATGACTGCTATAAATGTTTACATGATAAGCCACATCTATTGCGGTATAATTTGTGACCAGGTCGCTTCTGAAAACGAGCTTTACCTGGTAAAATAAAAAGTTACTTTTTTTTAGTTTAATAGTTTTTAGAACAAGAGTCTTACAACTGTCAGTCCTGGATAAATAAGTAAAATAAGCTGAGGAGACGCGTCAGCGCTGTTAGGCGGCATTCACAGTTGTTCAGAACTCCTCTTGGTTGCATCCTCTGAGGAAGAGGTCACAGCCGTGGGGGCTGAGCGAAGCAGCAGGAGTCCTACTATGATGATGATTATTATTCAGCCACACCCGCGACGAGGGCTTTTGTGTCGAGGCTGAGAGAGGAGGACGTGCTGCGACTATGCGATAACTTTCTTTTTTGAACGCCGCAAGACGGAGGCAAAAGCACGGCCGCTACGAATCAAGCGCGCACTCAGTTACCCTCGGGGCTCATCGGCGTGCCCCCGGGATGCTGCCATTGATTAATTGGCGTGCTTTTGCAAACAGAAGCGCTATTGAAGTAACAGCAAAAAAATATTTAGAGCGTGGTAACCGCTGTTTGGGATTTGCATCAGAATGCAGG